ATGATCTCAATTTCAGAATGGCTTCGAGAGAACATCGTGATGAAATCAGGAGGAAGAGACAGGCAGAAGAGCGCAAATTGATAGATGACATACGCTAAAAAGGATCATGCGTTCGACTCGCTCCAGCCTACCCCTCAGAGAGTGAAATTCAAAAGGTCAGGAGATTTGTTAAAATGATATTATTAATTGTAAGGACACTTACTCATTCATGATTTTGCCGAACTACGGGAAAGCAAGAGTTTGCTTTTCGCGAACAGGGAGGCAGCTCTCTATGGGAGTCGCACAGAGAAGTTGTACCTCGAAACATGCAATACAGTCAAAAGAATTCGCAGCACTGCGGAGGCTTGTCAATGGCGTACGGAATTTACAATCCTCTGGTATTGTCAGATGCTGCGTTGACGGAATCTCGAACCCGGTTCTATGACATCGACGAAGACCACATACCCATAAAATCGGTTTGTAGCTGACTCCGCTCGAGAGGAGCTCAATTTCTTTGCTGACCTCAAGCATCAGGTAAGAAAACGAAATAAGCTCGAATTCGGGAGAAGAACGAAATGCATGTCAGTACGTTTGACAAAATGGAAAAGGACTTCCACAAGGAACTCTAAATAAAATGCGAGCACGTTTGTCAACAGATAAGGGATCAAAATGAGAACATCAAAGATATGTCAAAAAAAGGTGACACCATCACATTAGTGACAAAGGTGCACGAATTCCTGGTGAATAGTGGAGAACATGAGGACATTCCCCTAAGAAAGGTCGAGTCAAAGCAGTTAGCAGTAAGCACGGGAACATCAGCAGTGATGGAGAACCACCAGCGGATGACGGAGTCGAGAGGAAACAGTCGCTAAGGTAGCTGAGGAAGATATTCTGAACTTAATGAAAAACTACGATTACGACTTTGCTGCTGGTCAGAGCGAGGTCACTACGTAAGACACTGAACCGAACGCACCGACTGTGAAGGAAAGGGCACAACCACAACAGCATCCACGGCATAAAGACCGGATCAAGTTAAAGGACTGCATAGCCGAAATAAAAGCGTTCCTGGAGGATAACCGACACGTACCAGAAAGGCGGATACGCAAGTTCGATAAGATGAGAATAGTGCTTTTCGATCTGTTCCTTCAGCCTTGCAAAAGGGCAACATTATTCTAGCAGCTGCTCCGTATATGCTAGCACAGAGATGAGACAAAAAGCGAGCTCGATGCAGACCATGCTTAGATAGTCGTCGCGACACGAAGAACTACT